GAATCAGGGTGATGTTGGCCTCATAGAATGAATTTGGAAGAGCTCCCTCTTTTTCTATTTCCTGAAATAACTTGAAAAGTATTGGTATTAATTCTTCTTTAAAGGTTTTGTAAAACTCCGCTATATACCCATCTGGTCCTGGGCTTTTCTTGGTTGGTAGTCTTTTGATTGCTTCTTCTATTACGACTCCCTATGCCCGCGAAGCTGAAGAGGTCAGAGACTTGATCTCTCCGCGCCCGCCGCCATGTTGGATCCTCAATCTCCCATTGTATTTTTGTTAATCTTCTTGTAGGATTGATCATCCAAAGATTATGAAAAATGTATGGCCTGGCCATTGACTAATCAGAAAGAGTCCTGGCTATAGTTCAAGAGCTGGCTCTTGGAGAGTCCCACCATTCCAGCCAAAGAAGGTTAGGAATTAATCTTTAGGTGTTGGATGTGGAAGTTTCCTTGGAAATAAATCTTAGATATCTAGAAAGCTTAGGGAAAGAATCTAGTTACTAACTTGTAGGGAGCAGTTTCAATATTTTAACAATGGGCGTGGCCTTGCAGGGGGCCTGTCCACTGAATGGCAGGCGCATTAATTTTTTCAGGGAGTAATTCCATTTGCGACTTTAAATTTTTCATCTCAACTAGTTTCAATTTATCTAAGGTTAGAAATTAATTGTCATATTGCTCTTAATGAATACCCTAATTGTCTTTGGGCATATTTGGGGGAATAGATGAGGTATATTTTGTTTGTTGGTTGGTTTTGGTACCAGGGGCCTTTTACCATTGAGCTACATCCCCAGCTCCCTTTTATTTTTTATTTTGAGACAGGGTCTTGATAAGTTGCTGAGGTTGGCCTTGAACTTGTGATCCCCCTGTTTCAGCCTTTAAGTCGTTGCAATTACTGCATCATGCATCACTACACCCCACTTGCTTTTATTTCTTGAAAGACAGCATTGCTTTATTGAATTCTGGCTTGAGCATTACTTTAGTAAATGAAAACTAAAAGGAAAAAAAAATTCTAACAAATGACTAGAATAATGGCATCTCCTTACCTGCCATTTGGTTTCATTTTAGCAAGTATTTGTTGTGATCATTTGCTAGACTATGATAAGTGTCATGGTAAATGAAAATATAAATATGTTAATATATCTGCCTTTTAGGTGATAACAGAAGGAGGTATAATGGATGAAACTCTTTGTTAATAAATCTGAAACCTCAATAAATCTGAAACATAAACAGGGGAATCTGAAGCAGGATAATAAGAAATGAAGTATGTCCAGGAGTTGTTTAAAAAAAAAAATTGTGTCTGAAGTGTAGACCGGGAAGGAGGGAGTATGTGGAAGGTAAGTCAGGAAAGGAGGAGTGTCAACCAAGACACTTCCAGCTGTAAATGACAGAAAGCAATTCAAATTACCTTGAGCAAATGCAGACTTAACTGTGATGTAATTGTGAGGTCTAGAAGGTGGAGTTGGCTTCAGGCCTGAGGAGATTATGAAATTCAAATAAGGTTATTAGCTCTTACACTCTCTTTCCTCCACCTTCCCACTCTTCTCATATAAATTTTTCATCCCTTCTTCTATAGAAAGTTTTGGAGATGTTCTAGGAAAGATGACTATTGGAAGCCGTCAATGCATGTCCTTTCTAACCTATGAACCAATACACAAATCACTTTCCATAATTTCAAGCAGAAAAATTCCAATATATGATGATTGATTGCCTGGATTATGTGCCTGTTCTTGAAGCAACCATGGAGACCAGGGTACCATAGGCAGTAGGATGTGCCTAGCATTGATGACATGCTTATCCTGAAATTTAGAGGTAGAGGCAGTTTTCCAAAGGAAGTGGGAACGCTGAGTAGAGAAAAACAAAGTCATATCTCCAACATGTAGGATGCCAATAAGGTAGAGAGCCTGGAATGTGGAGCCTTAGGCTCTGGAATATGAACTCCTTCTGGCAATAATAAGGCCATCAAATTCTTTGGAGTAAGAAAGTGGCCTTGGATCATGGTTGGAGTAGATCATCTTTTGAGTTTCCATTCTGTGTTGAAATTATTCTGAATTTGAAAAAGATGGTGGTCTTGATATAAACTATAGACTTTAGGTGATAATGATGTGTTCATGTAGGTTCATGGATTCTAACAAATATACCACTGTGGTACAGAAGATGATCTGGGAGTTTGTGCATATGTGGTGGCAAGAGTATATGGGAACTCTGTACTTTCTGCTTAGTTTTTCTATGAATCTAAAAATAATCTGTTAAAAAATGGTGGTGCTGCTGTCAACAGACAGCCTTTTGAATGAAGTCAAGAACTTAACTATTTTAAACACAGAAATGTAAAATGTCCCCAGTTGACAAACAGACCCACCAGTCAGCAGCTGCCCAGCTGAGATTATTCTTGGTGTTGAAAGTTTCATCTTTTCTCCAGAGATCACCACTTAACTCTGATGCTGAAGATCTACATTAATGATAGTAAGTAAAGTTAGTGATTTTGCAAATATGGCTTCTTTAATGCATTTTACTTGCCAAATGTTGTGCTTTAATGCATGGTGTACAGACCCATCAAAGTGTGGTCCATGAATGACCTACATTATAAGTACTTGGTACTTGTTTAAAAAAATCACATAATTCAGGATCATATTGCAGGTAGACCTTCAAAATAATTATCTGCAGGTAAATGACTTAGGAATTTTGGCACTCAAAATGTGGCATCACCTAGAAGTTCACTAGAGGTGCTGAGATCCCAACTCAGATATACTGAATCAGAATATGCATTTTAAGAGGCTCCTCAAAGCTTAAAGTCTGAGAAGCATCATTCTGGAAAATTCTGTTACACTAAATTTTGAGAATCACTCATCTAACCAAAGGCTAATGAGAATAGAGATGATTACAGCACAGTGGGATGAGTGTATTTACAGAGGAATGTGTGATTTCCTCTAGAAGTGCACAAAAGTAGTAAATTCCATGTCAGGGAAGGTTTTCAGGAAAGGTGTGATGTTTTATACTTCTAAAAGAGCAAGGTGATGTTAGTCAGGCTAGGAGGGTGGGGAATCTCATCAGTGGGATCCACATGTACACAATCTTGAAGCAAAAGAGAATACTACAAGTTCAGGTAACAACAGCAAACTGTACCTCAAAGTGCATGGTTTGGTAAAGAGTTTATTTATTTAAATTCTGAACACCAATTAAATGAGATTAAAAAAAACTCAACAGTTAAAGATTTGCTTATCAATCTCTGGGAGGAGGGGTTGGAATCAAATTTTTACATTTCTATGATGTTACTTTCTCTGACCCCTCTGGTGATTTCTTTTTGCATCCTTTATTGATTCACCAATCCATTCAAACATGTATACATGGGCCCTGTGTTAGGTTCCTAGGATGTGGTGGTGAATGAAACCAAACTGTTCCTGCCCTCAAGGAATAATTTATAGGTGAGACTAGGGTGGAGTGGAGAAATTAGTAACAGTATGCTGTGATGGAGAATAAGTCAGGAAACCACAAGGAAGATCTGTTCCAATTAGACCTGAATATCCCTACCAAGGGGCCAAAGTCACTAGAGCGAAGTGGAGGGGGTTCTATGAAAAGCATCCTGTCCCCATCCCATCCCCAAGTGTGTACACACACTTCTGTTTTCCTGGGAATCTTCTGTGGGGTAGAAGACCTCCCCTCAAAAGTACTCACTTTCCACAGGCTGGAAACAAGAGGAAAGAGCAGTAAAAACTGACTTTCATCCCAGCTCCAAACACAGTCCTACTTTGGGAAAGAACTGAACCTCAAAACTGACCCGGTTCTGGTGTGTTCCAAGTGACACTTTCCAATTGCAAACATCCATCTTGGCGTTGGGAGGAGCAGTGAGGAGACTCTGCGGCACGCGCCACTGCTTTTACAATGTATGTGGAAAAAAAAAAAAAAAGGTGTATTTGAAAGTAAAGAGATAAGGAGGCCCCGGGGAGTGCGGTAGGGCCCTTCCCGCCGGTCAGTCTTCGCGGCCTGGAACCTTGTGTGTCGGGGCCTGGCTGCCGGGCCTCCGGGGGAAGCATTTGGGAGTGGGACCGCGAGCAGCCGCTTGTAAACAGAGCCGGGCTGGGATGGTCAGCGGCCGGACCGGCTGTCACCGTGCGGCGGGCGGGCTGCCCAGGCCGGGACCCCGCCAACAGTAGGCTGCAGGCCCCGCCGCTGAAGGGAGACGAGCCACCCGGTGAGCATCCACTTGCTTCTGTGCTGCCTACCGGAAACGGGGAGGGCCAGGGATGGGGATGACAGCGTGGTAAATACCGAGCAGCTCCCCGGGGTAGCGGTGATGTTGCTGTTTCTTCTCCGCACACCGTTTTTTTTCGTGCCGGAGACTGCACTCCATGGCAATGGATAATGAGTGAAGGGAGATTACGTGATGCTCTGTTGCTCTTTTTTTTTTTTTTTTTTTTTGGTGTGAATCAGGTAAATATCTGAGTCGAAAGTAGTTGATGTAGGCGGTCTTGCTCTGTGCGTTGCTTTTGGTCCCCTCTCTCCAGGGGTCATGGAAACCAAGCCTCAGCAGAGCTTTTAGTCACATCAAGCCAGGCCACCCCGAGAACACAAGGATTGCTCTTTCTGACGACTCTGCCCATTTTAAATGTATAGTAAATGACACCACATGACTGATGACAAGCATGGGCTGGTCTTCTATGAAAGGATTACTAAGCTAAAAAAAATCAACATAGGGAAATCTCAGGCCCACCTCTTAAATAAAATAAATTTCTACCGAGAAATACTACTGGATGACAAATTGAGACTGCTCTTTATGTATATAGCTCGCAAAGTAAGATCAGTTTAAATTTACTAGGTTAAACTGAGATGGAGCCATGCGGTTGTAAACTTATTTGGAAGGGATTTTTCCTCTTTTTATTTTTTTTCCCATTGGAAGAAGTTAAAGGGAAATAGTTATTTCCCCCATATTTTAAAATTTCAATAATCACAGTGTATTGTGATTTGTATTTTTAAGATATGTTATTATAAAACATCACATGTAAATTATAATTGGTTTTCTTAAACTACTAAGTAGTGTTTGTCTCATTAACTTCAAGAAAATGCCTTAACAGAGACCAGGCTACATTTATTGTCTCTAAAAGGTCAATAGACATGTGTCACCTTGAGACAAATATTAGGTTAAATTACACATAGAGACATGTTTTAAAATCACGCACCAAGAAATAATATTAATGCCTGTTGAGTTTATTTTTACAATGAATATTATCATGATGTCATGGTTCATAGCAAGAACTATATAAAGTCAGACTACTTCAGTTTAAATTTCTGCTTGATCACTTCCTACTTGTGTAACTTGGGCAATTTACTTAGCTTTGCTGTGTTTGTATCTGTAAAATAGAAATAATAACTATACTGACTTCACTAGAGTTTTTAATGGGGATTAAGTTAATTTTTTAAAGTGCTTATAATAGGGCCTAGAATATAGTAATTACTATGTACATATTTATTAATAAATATATAAAGTAAATACATACCCGTGTTGAAATGTAGAATGGTGATTACCAAGGGCTGGGGGAGGGAGAGAATGGGGAGTTGTTCTTTAATGGGTATTGAGTTTCACTTTTGCAAGATGAAAAGAGTTTTGGAGACTGTACAACAATGTGAATGTACTTAACTGAATGGTATTCTTAGAAATGTTTAAGTGGTAAATTTCATGTTATAATTATTTTACCATAGTAAAATAAAAAATCACAGTTGACAAAGTTAGGCTGTCAAGATCTTTATTGACACACAGTATCCCATCCACAGTTGCCTTTGCCATTGTGAAAGTGCAACTTCCAAGTAGTCATCAGGAAGATGAATTTATTTAGTGGATGCATGCAATTGGGATTCATCATAAGGAGTACAAATAAATTATATGAAACAACATCTAAGACTCTGGGGCAGGCACAATTCTAAAAATGCCTCTCCATCAAGATTGTTGTCCCTAATCCTTGGAACCTGTGCTTATAAGATATTACTCCCTTGATTGTATTCTGCTATATGGTACAGTTGAATTTAAAATGAGTAGATTTCCTAGGTGGCCTAATCTAATCACAAGTGGAGGGCTTTCTCTGGCTGGGAAATCTGAGAGATTTGAAGAATGAGAAGGCTTAGCATGTTGTTGCTGTTTTAAAGATGGAATTGTATAGTTGAGAATGAATTCAGGCAGCCTTTATGAATTTAGAAAGTCTGGAATTACTGAGGGGGTAGCCCTCATCTGACAACCAGCATAGAAATGGGACCCACAGAAAGGCCACAGGCACTGACTTCTTTCAACAACACAAATGAGCTTGAAACAGGATTCTTTACCAGAGTTTCTAGATAAAAGCCCAGTTTAGTGTAGCCAACACCTTGATTTATAAGAGAGACCCTTAGCAGAGAACCCAGCCCGACCCATCCAAACTTCTGATTTTAGGAACTGTGAGATAATAAACTGATGTTGTTTGAACTACTTAGTTTGTGGAAATGTATTATGCAGCAGTAGAAAGCTAAAACAGACTCCAACAGAAAAATGGCAAAAGAAATGAAGAGACTAACTACTCATGTTTGGATCTGAATATCCCCCAAAGGCCCATGTATTAAAGACTTGGTCCCCAGGTTGGTGCTATTAGGAAGTAATGGAACCTTTTACAGGTGGGGCCTAGTGGGAGGCCATTAGATTTTGGGGGCCATGCCTCCAAAGGAGATTGTGGGGTTCCAGATACTTACTTATTCTTTTTGTTCCTAGGCTCATGATGTAAATGATTTTGCTCTACGAGGCATTCTGACTATGATGTGCTGCCTCACCATAGGCCCAAGTAAAATGGGGCTAATCATATACTGAAACTTCAAAAACTATGAGCCAAATTAAACCATTTCTCTTTATAAATTGATTATCACAGGTATTTCATTATAGTGACAGCAGGCAAACATACTATTCATAGAAGAGAAAATCAAAAGGCCAATAAATATATAAAAACATTTTCTTCCCATTAATCAAAGAAAATTGAAACTATAGCAAGGTACCATTTTTCTAGCTCTCCAATTAGCATAATTTCTACAAGTTCTCATTCCCCATTTCAGTAAGGGTTCAATGGAGTAGACATTCTCAAATACTTTGAGAAGCACATAATTATTATGACCTTTCTGAAAAGCACATTGGCTAAGTTATGAAAAGCCCCAATAATGCTCCTAACTTTGACCTCTGCTAACATTCCTTTTCTGGAAACCTAATGAGGAATATTTTAAAGGTTAATATTCAAAGATGCTCAGTATAGCCTTGTTTAGAAAAGTATTGGCAGTAACCTAAATATACAATAATAGGAGAACAGTTAACTATAGTATCATAGAAAATATAGTATTATATAGACATTAAAGACCCTGTCACTAAATAAGATAAAATTGGGTTGGGGATATTGTTCAGTGTTTGAATGCCCCTGAGTTCAATCCCAGGTAACCCCCCACAAAAAAAGAATCTCTATAGGTGCTGGATGTAGTGGCTCATGCCTGTAATCTCTGTGACTCAGAAGGCAGAGGCAGGAGGATCACAAGTTCCAGGCCAGCTTCAGCAGTTAACAAGACCCTCAGCAACTTAGTGAGACCCTGTCTCAAAATGGGACTGGAGATGTAGCTTAGTAGTACAGTGGCCTTGTGTTCAATCCCCAGAATGAATGAATAAATAAATAAATCTATAGGGAAGGACTGAAAAGGCTAAAATGGGGCAGTGTTGACTAAGCATTGCTTATTTTGCCTTTTATTCTTCTGTGTTTTCAAGATGCTGAACAATATACTTGTAGCACTTTTTCTATAATCATGGAAGTCAATAAGCTATTTAAAAACCTGTCTGTATTGTGGGGAACACAATGAATCTAAAACATTGTGCAGTCAAATTATGAGGATAGTAAAATTCATAAATATGTGGCAGAAATTGACCTTTTTAGAAAGTAATATGAGGCAGGAAGCAATAAATATTATTGGAAAGATTAAAAATAAAGTTGGATAATATTTCTTGTTATATAATCATTGAAACCTTTGTGGTGGAAAGATCACCTAGTATCATGTAAAAGCAATAGAAAAAGAAGGCACATGGCTGAATTTTTATTAAAAGTCCTCCCTCCCGAGATTAATAGATTTAGGCTTTAGGTAGTGGATCAAGTTTACTTATATAAAGGAAAAACAAAGAACTATGAGAAATTATGTGACCATTTGTCAAAAAGAAAGAGCTTTGCACATTAGGACTGAGAAACCAAGCTGGACATAGACCAGTATCATCTGCATTAGAAACATCCAAAGCTAATATTTATTGAATATTTATCAGAGACTTAACATACTCTAACTGTGGTTTGTACACTTTTGGAAGTCTTGAAGTCATTTGTTTCCCTATTTCAGAAGCAGGCAGATAGATGGTTACTACTCTAATTTCTACTTTCAGAAGACCTGATTTTAACAGGTCATTTGGGCAGAGATTTTAGAGTTCTCCATCTCTAGACAGTTTCCAGAAGTGCTTGGCTACTGCTACTTCCACTTTTATTTTCCTGTTGGCTTCATTTCTATTTTCACTTCACCCTATGCTTCCATACCCCTAGAGAAGTAGGAAAAGTGTCTGCTGGTCCATTGGCTGCTAGCCAGATGCTGATTTGCTTCATGGGGAATGTTAACCCTTTAAAAGAAGAGGTATGGGGGGATATCTAGCAAGGAATTGCTTTTGTTGTTATTATTATTTACTTTAGGAGCAGATTTGGGATTTGATTCATAAAGACTTGAACTATTTTTTAGCTTTTGGTGCAAGCCAAATGATTTCATGAACATTACTGGTAATGATTAAGAATATGATAAAAATGACCATCAGTAATAAAGTCCACACACTGTTTGCTCTCATTTTGTTGGGTATTCTGGATCATAATAAACACTGAAAATATCACGTAATTTACCTTCCAACCGACAAGAGAGTGAAAGCTTTATTTGGCCAAAGAGTGTAATTAATCTTGATGGCAGCATGAGTTATGAGCAAAAACCAAAATCAAAATATAGAGGCCATTGCATTGAGATGTTACACATGCTGTTTCCATTAACATTTAGTTTGTTTTTCATACTCTGATTAATTGTTAATTGGAGTTACATGTTTCAAATCGGATTACCCAATTATATGCCACATTTATGAGTATGGTAGAGATTTATTTATCCAATTAGCTTGATTAGTGTAGTCAACTT